TTGGTGCATTTCTGCTGCGGCGGAGAAAACAATCAAAGCGTCAGGGGCGGGTGATGATGCCACTGTGGCAGCCGCAAACACGTACACATATGTACCGTGAGCATACACACAAACACAAACAGACACAGAGGAGGAGACGCACACAAGGCCCCTACACACACACACACACACACACTCTGAGTACAGTTGCAGACACACATATGCAGATAGCGCATGCATACATATATGCACTTGTATACACACACATAAGCTGCTGACACGCAAAATGTGCGAACACACACACTCAGACACACACATTGATTTACTATGTAGACAAGCATGCACTGCACATACGCCACAGACTTAGTCAGTCACTCTCAGACACACAATAGCAGGCTTACAATGGCTGATCCAGGAGATATGTTCTGCGTCAGCAAAGACATTTGAATTTCCCAGCCAACATTTACCTTCACACAGAGTGCGAGCACATCACATTTAAATGTTCAAACCAAAGCATTTCAGAGAGAAATATTCCGGCTTTCAATTAACTCACATTTTTCCTCTGTAAGTTTGGACAAAAGCGAACGCACAAAGCGAGAGGTCGCGTCTAAACACTGTTTGGACTGAAGCTTTATTGTGGGAGAATCAAATCCAAGCATTTAAAAGTGAGTGAACGAGGTGAACGTTCTTACTTGTCGTACTGAACACACTATTCAACTGTTGTGTTACGCTCTGTCTCACTCTGCAGCTCTCTTTGATCAAGGCTGAGAGGTGGTGGAAGAGGCGCGTGGGCTTCTCCACTCCACTCGCATCCTGGCCCACGTACTGTGGCGTCGACTCTCCACTCTTGCCTTGTTGTCGTTTGCCCTTGCGCCGCACGCTCGCTCATGCAAGCCTCTTGCGCGGCACGTAGAACGCAAGAGCAACTGGCAGGAGAAACAAAGTCTGTGTTGAACTCAGCACTTTAAAACGCTGATGATGGAGCGGATAAGGCAGATGGCAAAAGGTCTAATCAGGAGATCAGTGTATATGCTTCTATTACGATAAAAGGATACACAGCGACTGCCAGTGCGAGTTAATGTCGCTGTGTGTGTCCCGAATCAAGATCATTCATTCAAGATTGTGGATAGGCATTCAGCCAGATTCCCTTTTGAATCAGATCTGATGTTAGAGGGTAAGACGCACGGTTGTCTGTAGGCAACAAGTCTGTGGATCCTTAAAGCTGACGATGGAAACAGACGCTCTGCGATCGCTCTGGAAGCCAAATCCTCTGTGAGCATCGGTTCTGTGCCGTTTGTCAATTTTGCAGCATCATGGCAGAATAAAGTCTGATGTGCACAGCTGAGCAGCGAGGATGAAATGTTTCTGTCTGGATTTTAAACCACATCAATCAGGTTTCAAAGCCCAAAAGACGTGTTTTTATTTCTTCTAAGTTCTTGGTGATGCCAAGTGTAAGACAACGATCACCCGTCTCACTTTAAATCCAGTCCTGGTCACATGCACGGGTATTTAACTTCCCTGCTGAGCTAACACGCTACATCTCGTAACGTGAGAAAGAGGAAAAACTATTCCTGGATCCACCCCCTTAATCAAATCTAAAAGTGACCCTTCCAATAAATAAAATCACTCCTGTAGTTTCTGTTAAATCTTGCTAAAAGACAAACACATGGTCAAGAGTGTCGAACAACAGGCAGAAGCCACGTTGGCCAATCAGAGGCCTGAATTCAAGTTCCTAGCGGAGCCATGAGGCTAACAGGGGAGGGAATCCCATTCACCGACTCAGAGGGAAGTTATTAAAAAGTTGATGAGCTCGTAGGAATCTTTCACTTATTACTTCCTTGTGGTTGAAGAACCATTTAGACTCAAAATGATTCAAAGAAAATGTTCATGTGTATTGAAGTGGAGGAGCTCTTTAAGGTCCGTTTATTGTGTTGGGCTCATTCTGCTCATCACAGTTGTTCCCAGCAGCTGAATGTGACCCGCCCAGCATCAAACAGCACAGAGACTGGTACAGGAAGAGATTAGCTGCTGAAGAGAATCAAAGAAAACACTCATGGTGGACAAAAGAGCCCGAAAGAGAGGAGGGAATATCTGCCTTAAATTCAACAGGTGGTGAGAAACTTATTGTGAGATTGTTTTATAATGTGGCTCTGTTTCTGCTGCACGTAGAAGAACCCAGAGATTTGTGACTTTCACAGAAGGAAAAACGAATCACTCAGAATACTTGATATACTTTAACGCTTCAATCTGCTTTAAAACCTTTAGCCGGGCTGTGTGCTCTCTAAATGATATGGAAGAGTATTCAGAAAGAAAGGGAAGAAGAGGAAGATTAGTTTTACCTTTTGAATCAATGACGAGGAAAAAGTCAAACTAAATCATTTTGTATCTTAAGAGTTCTTGAAATGTGAAGAGTAAAGTTGAACCTTCAAGATAAAAGTCAAACTTTGAAGACCTTTGCTTTTAACTTTTTCCAAACGTTATTCTCAACATCGGAATCTCATTCACGCACTGCGAAAAAAGTTTAGAACTTTATTCTCCACGTGTCTGTACTGTTAATATTTGTACTTGATTCTCTGCATTGAAAGTTTCTGTTTGACTGTTCTGTGTTTTTAGTGTCTCCTCCTGACGGACTCCTGTCGGTCATGGACTTTATTCTCAACGCTTCAGTTTATATTGCAAATGAATGTCTTCGTCCAGTTTAGTTTGATTTTAGTCTGAAGATTTTGACCAAATTCAACTTTACTCTTGAAATGCAAATAATAAAAAATCTAATTTTAAGACTGTGAAGTATTTTCCTGTGTCACCCCCCATGAGCTTCCCGGTGTCCCACCACCACATCTAACCTTCCTCCTGCTCCTGTCATCACTTTAAACTTCTATTGCTGTCAAACTTTTTCCTTTTCTCCCCCCCCTGTCTCTCTCCCTATCTCCCCCCCTCACCCCTCCACAATAAAACGTCTCTCCACCCTGTCAGCCCACCCCCCCCCACCCCCCACCCCAGATGCCATATTTAGGATACAAATGTGAGGAGATGACAGCGTTGTAAAATGGAGCCCGTGCTGAGATTATAATTAACATTTCCAACCTACATCACTCTCCCTCCTACGTCCCTGCCTCTCTCCTCCTCTCTCCTCTCCTATTCACTCACTCACTCCTGTACAATAAATGGGGAAGAAAGGGAAAGAAAGGGAGATGGAGGAGGAGAAGGAGGAGGAGAGAGTGAAAGAGAGAGAGAGAGAGGGTGACCAAACGGAGGGAGGAGGGAGGGGGAAACGGCGTATGCTTGTATACAACCCTGATTTCCATTTTTTTCCCAACTCGTAATGTATTTAATTCAAGTGAAACGTAATCATGACGTGTCGTGTCATTAATCTCCTCGCCGCCTCTCCCGTAAGTACACTGAGTCTTTACTTTCAACATATATCTGCTTTTTATCCACACTCACATTTCACACAGCACTATGTTTACATGTGCACTTTTACGCGTGATGCAGTGACGCATCTGTGCCAAAACATTTACGCAAAAATCTGGAATTTGTCGCGTTTTTCCTCATTTGTCTCCAACGTGCAGGACACGGGATGATGGCCAATGTAGTTGTTGTTGTGTTATTTCTCAGTTTGGATACGTACGTGTGTGTGTGTGTGTTTGTGTGTGTGCGTGCACGCGCGAGTGCTTGCATGTGAGTGAGTGGCATGAAGCATGTATGTAACCGCGCGCTCCACGGACCACTTTACGTGTGTGTCATGTATGTGGAGCCGGTGTATGTGCGCGCGTGGCCGACATGGATGTAAACCCGCGAGCCCAGTCGTTATATCCGTGACACGACAAAAAATACACGCAGGGGATTAACGCAGATTTAACGCAAAAGAAACAGTGTGGCGTTTGAAAGAAGTCGAACCGAACGCGACTCGAGAATCGTCGCGAACGCACGAAAAGTCGCTTAAAGATGAATTTTGTTGAAAATTCGCGTAACTTTAACGAACTTCTGCTCGAGAGAGAGAAGCTGCGGTCTCTTCGCTTTTGTTGCGTTAAAGACGTCGAGCTCTCAACGCGGCGTGAATCCCCCAAACTGCTTTTTTTTTATTCTTTCGTAAAAGTAGCTCCCACAAAAACATGCACAAGTTGCTGGTGCGTAACGGAGCATTGTGTGGTTCCGAAGCCGCACGCAGACGTGTCGTCCCGGGCGTAAAAGTGGATTTTTGCGTGTTGGCAAGTTGATCCACAAAAGCGTAATTTGCAGATAGACGCGATTAGCCGCACTAATTCTTTTGTTGGGCACACATTGGGCATTGTGCGGCGCATTGTTTGCGAGACAAGCAGCGTCACTTTCATCCGGGATGTGCGCAAAAACGCAGCCACGGATTGGAACGGTGCTTAAAATAAACCTTTCTCCACTTTTCCCTCGGCGCTTTACTACAGTGTTTACTACCAGACGTGTACTTGTCCTAACATCACCTCGGGAAGTGGCATAGCGACTCCGGCACGTTGGAGCAGTGTGTGCGTGGAAAACGCGTGGTGCCAAACGGTGAAAGATAAGTTGCCGGTTTTGCAGCCACAGCGTTTAAAATGTGCGTTTTTTGGACACGGTGTCGCTTCTTTTTTTTGGGGAGGGGAGATTGGCAGCGGATTCAAGATGAAATCCATGATGGCACTTCTTCTTCTTCTTCTCTTTTTTTTTTTTTCTTCCTCCTCCCTGCTCGCTCACTCGTCTTTTCCCCTCCCTTAATCTTTTGTATAGAAAATTTAAGAACAAAATGGAGCAGGGGAGAGAGAGAGAGAGCGATAGATGGGCTGACATGACACAACCCCCCGACTTCTCCAAACTACATCCCCACTCTTCACGCTTTCTAGCCGGTCACGGTCGCAATCTGCGGCCGTGCGTCCACGCCGCTCCGGTGGAGGTGTTGTTCACCAGCGCATTGTTTGTTGTCGCTTATTTATTCCATTAATGTGCCTCTAATTGAGATGGCCGCGAGAGAGGGAGCAGACGAGCGAGGGGGGGGAAAGAGCGACTGAAAATGGTTGCACGTTATTGACGCACATCACTGGGGCGAGGAGGAAATTCCTCTCGAGATAAGGCGCAGACGTGTCATCTGGGTTAGACCGGACACTCCCGTCGCCCTTTTTCTGGATCCGCTGGAACATGTGCACGGATCCTGAAATGCCCTATTTTTCCCCATCCAGCCCAAATGTCACACTTCTCTGAGCGTGTGCACGCTGGAAGTAGGTTGACATTGCTGGCTCGTCCTATAATCAGGGCTGTCATGGGGCGTCCTCTGACTCTCTCTACCTCTTTTCTCTGCTCGTTGCGTTTATCATTTTAAACTTTATGAGTGTCCTGTAGCCAGAAGCATCTTTACGATCCGCGTGCGAGTTGAAGTGAGATCCAGAACGAGCACGAGAGCTGTTTTTCTTTGATTGTGTTTCACTTGAATGACTTTTTATCATCTTCTATCATTTTCTTTTACCATAATTCAACCTCTGCACTAAATATTTGATCAAACACATTCACACTAAACCTGGAAGCGTCACATGCACCTTCTCCAACATGAAGGTTTTCAGGATAACTTCCTCTGATCACCTATATGAACTGAAGCCGCTCACAAACACAAACCTCTCCACTAAATATTTCACAAACTAAAACTTAAAAGCGTCTCCTCTCTGTATAAAGTGTCACACGATGATTTTATTTTGATTATTTCTCACTAAATCCATCGTTGTAACAGAAGCCACTAAACTAATGAAACTCTCCTCTGGATCATTTATCGAAAACTAAAACTAAAGCGTCACATCCAGGGAAAGTGAAGAGAAAACTTTTTCCTCATCACTTTTTTTTTTGTTGCAATAAACTAATAAAACTCAAAGTAAATATTCTACCTACAACCTCACAGCTTCACCTCTCTCCTCATCCAACCCTCAAACTAGAAAATCAAACCTCTGGATAAACATTCTACAATCTGAACCTTGAATCCCCCCCCCCCCCCCCCCCCCCCCCCCCCACAGGTCGTCCACCTTTTCAAACGTGATGATTACTTTTGCTTATTTCTCCTTAACATTACTTTTTCAATCACTTATTCTGACTCAAGCTACTTATTCTCACATCAAACTATGAAATCAAACCTCTCGACTAAATATTTTATCCACGACCTTAAAACTAACCCTAAAAGCACGAGTGTCCTCGTCCATACAGGTCGTCCACCTTTGCGTAGCTAGTTACTTGTTGTATTGACACGAACAAATGAAACAATATAAAAGGTTTTCATATAAAAAACAAACCCGTAGAAAAGAATACGTTAAAAGGACAGAAAACAGACTCATTAATTCACCCTAGAAAACCAAGTACCTCTCTAATATTAGCGGACAAGTACATAATAAAAGGTTCTTTCATCCGTGTCCACAAAGATACATACATGACGATTTCATATACTCGCACTAATGAATCCCAAACTCTCTGTCAAAAACTGTCTAATGCTTTTGCCTCATTCAGAGCCCTCTCTGCTCGTTATGCTCAAGTATCCTCCTCCTCCGCCACTATCGACACCGCCCCCACCCCCCCCCATCTTTGTACATACTGTACTGTACTTGAGGGGGGCCACACGCACCCCCCATCCAGGTGGCTCTCGGGGGGGTGGAAGAGATTGTAAGCGAGGAAGAAAGAGAGTGGGGGAGAGAGAGTGTAAAAAAGGGAGAGGAGTGTAGCACCAATCAAGGCCTCTGATTGATATAATTGGGTCATTAGTGCGCTGTGGGAGAGGCACCTGCTTGCCCTCAGTTAGGGAGAATCTACTGCATTGTGACATTTTCAGACTGCGGAGAGTTCTCACTGGCTGCCCGGGATTAGCGTGTATTTAGAGCACTGGGGTCTTACTTAAATAGTTTGCCACTTGTGCCATTTGTGCTCAGTTTTCAGACGACTTTTAAGCCGATTTGCAGAACAGACGCCGACAGGTATCGATGGTCCGCTTTCCCGTAAGTTCGGATGAGTCAAATCTTTGGGATCAGAGGAGGTTGGGTTTGTGATGCTGCAGCACCGGTGTGAAGGCCGGTCGAGGGTCAGGCACAAAGAGATGACCCGCAGAAACCTGTCGATGCGGCTGCGTCGCACGATTTCTGGAAGTTCGCAAACTCCGCAATTCTGAACGCGGAAGTCAACCTTTTGGTATCGGTGAGGAAGCTCACTGTTACTTTGTTGGTACGACTGAGAGCAACACCGCGAGGGGAGGTCTGCGTGCACCGTTTAATAAATGATCCGCCCTCCGAGCACGGTCAGACCTTTAGGCTCAAATCCCCTGAGAGAGAAAACAAAGTGACCCTCCGACCTCGTGCACGTGTGGTCAAGGTGCAGGGACCGAGAGCTGTCAGGGCTTTGAACACTGACGCTCCGTACACATCAGTTATATTTAACTCAGTGTGCTCATGCTCTGCAGATTTCCCCTGGGCTCAGTAAAGAAGCAACCTGTGTTAACAGTTACTATTTTCTCCTTAGTACGGTGCTCATATGTCTGATGTATGTGATACAGCTATTCCACAAGGAGGTCACAGTGCAGGGGTCAGCGTCCCAGGGGCTTCTGGGTAGTGGGTGTCTTGCCTGAGGACACTTTGCAGGAGGGGGGGGATTGTTTTTTTTTGTATCAGGATATTCTTAATTTCATAATATGACAGATTTGAGTATAATTTTAGATTCGTGTCATGGGAACAAAATCCTCAGGTGGGAAGCAAAGATAAACCTTTTAGCAAGAACACATCCGCTGATGAGCTGCTGACATCTGCATCCAAAAGCGATTCTTCCTTTAAAAAGGCTTCAGCCTCGTAATCCTGAATCAGACGAGTCAGTCAGCGCGATGTTTCATTGTTTTAGACGCGGTGCGACTCGGAGCGAGAGAGCCTCGTCTCATCTCGGCCGAGCTGCTGTGATGTTCTCCAACGTTCAGACTTTTCCCACTCAGATCCGGCAGCGCTCAGCAAGCTGCAGCCTCGCGTTCTCCTTCGCTGGAGGAGCGACTCACTCAGGAGCAACAGCTTGGGAGGAGAGCGAGAGGTAGAGGAGGAGAAACATTAAGTGGTGAGGTGACAGGGGAGGAAGGAGGGAGTCGCAGACAGTGGCAGATAAAACGATCCTGGCGATGACCGGGGCAGGAAATGTTTCCTCGTCTACATTTTTGGCCAACGGACCGGATCTGAGGACACATTGAGACGGTGTCCTTTTCTTCACCTGGCTCAAGAACTGTCAAAACGCTCATCAATCTATCGCCATTTTACCCAACAGCCCCGAGGCTCCCTGAAGTCTTTGGAGGCCGACTTTCAGCCCTTTGACCGCAACACAACCATCACCGCTCAAAACCAACGCGACACAAGAGTTCACATGTACGAGAAACCCACCAGTGGAACCT